ATCTGGGGGAACGATTGTTCACCAGAGCGCCCCAAGGGATGAGAAGTTCGAACGGTTATAAACTCCTGCAAGACTGTTTCAGGCTGGACATAATGAAGAATTTCTTCACTGTCCAAGCTCCCAAGGTCTGGAATAGCCTGCCATCAGAGGTGGTTCAAGCACCTACATTGAACGCCTTCAAGAGAAATTTGGATGCTTATCTTGCTGTGGTCCTGTGACCCCATCTGACTTCCTGCCCCCAAGGTCCCTTCCAGCCCTAATGTCTGTGAAATCTATGAAGTAATCTTGGATAAAATTCCATTAAAATTTTAATGTTAAAATTTAACAGTTAAACACTGAACAGAAAATGCCAAAAATGAGGCTGGATATGCAGTTTTCACTCCTCCCACTTCATTATGCTTAATCATATAGTCTCTAATCATTATATAAATATAGTAAATTCAATTCTGTTTTTCAGTGAGGCAATATAATTAGGGTTTTTCTTTCATGGGCTTATGCATCCGTATAGCATCTTCCACTGTTGCCTCATAATGCTGTTTATACATTGAACAACATTTTTAATGGTAAATTCACAGCATTTCTTTCAAGATATGCATTACAAATCTGTAGAAAAACTGTGTTTTAGTAGTCTTTTACAGACAATATGATATCAGGGGATTAAAGAATGTACTGTCATCTATATTCAAAAAAGGAGCAAAGTTAAACTTGCACATGCAGTCTTTCCCTTGACATTTCCTGATTTTTGAGCATTCTCAAAAGAAGGATTTGTTCTACTGAGAGAGACTTGTGAGATTTAAAAAAAAAAAAAAAAAAGAAAATGGAATCTGTAACTTCCATTATTTCTTTATTATTTTGCTAAATACCTTTCAGTGCACATCCTGATCTCTACATAGGTCTGGTTGGCTGAATTAACTGTGTAATACCATTAGCTGCCTATGATATTATGTGATACCATTAGCTGGAATGATGTTTTTTGGAGTACTGTGTCCAGTTCTGGGCGCCACACTTCAGGAAGGATGTGGAAAAGCTGGAGAGAGTCCAAAGGAGGGCCACGTGCATGGTTAGAGGTCTGGAGAGTAGGTCATACACGGAGAGGCTGAAAGACATGGGACTGTTCAGCCTGGAGAAAAGAAGACTTAGAGGGGACTTGGTGGCAGCCTATAAGTATATAAGGGGTGTACATCAGGGCCTGGGGGAACATCTGTTCACCAAGGCACTCCAGAGGATTACAAGAAACAGTGGACACAAACTGATTGACGATCATTTCAAATTGGACATAAGAAAAAATTCTTTACGACTTGAGTGCCTAGGGTCTGAACAGACTCCCCCCAGAGATGGTACAGTCACCTACCCTGGAGATCTTTAAAAAAGTTTTGATCTGCACCTTGCTGGGATCATCTGACCCCAGCAGTTTTTCCTGCCCAAGTACAGGGGGGCTGGACCCAATGATCTCATGAGGTCCCTTCCAGCCCCTAACATCTATTAATTTATGAGTGTGGTGAAAATTTGAGTAAACTCCTTTGACTTTAACTTGATAGAAGTATGAAATAATTGCCATTTAGAATTCTGGTAATACTGGATAAAACATAATGCAAACTATACCTGACATCTGAAACAGGCTCTTTTACTTACTGCTTGTCTGAGTTGTGACAGATGTCCAAGGGATCATTCAAAGGCACTGTTCCTCACTGAAGGCTGTCTCAGTGCCAAACTTTAACTCACTCTCTCTGCTGTTTAAATACTAGAACTGTTTAGAAGTAGTCATAAGTAGAATTTTATAATAGCATGAGTTTTTTTCTGTTAAATATGGCTACATCATTTTAGAGCAAATATTCGAAACAGTTTCCCCTTTGACAAAGAACAACCCTAGGAAAGAGTAAAAAAGTACGAGCAGCCAGAAATGTAATGATGGACCTTTCACCTTAGCTATTGCTTGTGATCTAGCACTAAAAGGCAGTTAGCCTTCCTAAAATTTTAGTACTGATAACACAAAAATATCCAAGCAGTCTTTCTTTTTTCCTTACAATGAGTTATGATCCAACAAAGCCATGTCACAAACAGGTAAATGGCTTAACTTGGGGCTTGTGCAGATAGGGTTTGAAGGATGGACTCCAAATTTTTATTAGATGTTGTCTTACAGGGCTGTAAGGGTAGTATTTGAAACAAAACCAAAAACCTTGCTTGCACTTACTAGGTCACGAGTTTCTGTATCTCCTGCAGCACCCCATATCAGGGTGAGGTCATGTTCTGGAGCTTATCTAGATGGGCCTCCCTGAGATAGCAGTCCTCCCTCTTTCATTCTTTCCCCCTTGGATCGCAGCCCTTGTGTTTCTGGTACACTCCCAATGTGACACCCTCAGTTAAGCAAAATTGTGCCTCTTTGTTGTAGATCCACTGATAAAGGCAATAGCACTGTATGTGTGCTTAAATGGGTAGATCAAGTTGATACTTTACAATTAGTAATTACACACCAATAGTAACAAGATGTGAAATTGTGGTTTGAGGGCGTAAAGTCTCATCTGTGAGCTCAAGCCCTGTGCTGGTAAGCACAATTCAGACTTGTTTGCACAAAAATTTGTTACCATCAGCTTCAAAACAGTTAAATTTTAATTGTGTTTCTGTTGGTGCTCCAACTTTGTTCAAAACCCTGTGTAGAGAGGGCATGAGTGAACAGCTGTGGCTGGCAGTAGGTACATATTTTGGGGATAGAAGCTGTTCTTATTTTTTGGTATAGCAGCATGGGCGACTGGTGCCTCTCGAGTCTGGGAGGTGGGGCAGGGGGCACCAGATCACTGATGGGGGCAGGGAGGGGTCTGCCCACAGCTGATCACTTCCTCCAGCACTTCTGGTTATGCAGCTGCTGGTTCTAGGCGGTGCACATGCACCCCCTCCACATCACCAGTGTATATATAGTGGCTAGCACTGTGGAGCCCCAATCTCAGTACCTGTAGGTGCTGTTGTAATACAAATACTGGCTCATTCTCCCACTCAACTTGCTCTCCTGCGGGGGGGGGGCCCCCCCCCCCCCCCACCCACCCCCCATTGAAACATGAATATTATCTTCCATCAAGGTTTGCTTGCAGAGATATAATGGTACCGAGACTAAATTCTTTAATAACAAAATATAATTCAGAATGCAGTTTAGTGCATCTTAAGTTAGGGGCTGTTTGGTTGGAACACTGTTTGATCTATCTAGCCAGATGAATGCGGTTTATCATTTTCTTTGTTCCTAGTCAAATGTTATGCATAGTTATTTGCATCACCATTATAATTGAAAACAGAGAAAAGAATTCAGAAACTTATTTTGGCCCCTAGTTTTGCAGTTTGCTTCTTAATACATTGCTTTTAAAACCCATTAAAACAGGTTTAGTGAATCTGAAATGTGCTGTTCACCAGTCTGATTTATTTTTGTAAAGTGAAATCAGTGTATGTTCTTGTGGTTCAAGAGAAAAACATAAGTAGCTGGGTATTTTCACACTTTACCCTTTTCCTTCTTAAAATTCAATTTATAACAAGGATTAATTGTGTTTCTCATGCAAAGAGATTCTGGAGTATAGTGTTTATGTGTAGAGATATTATTACCAGTCATAATATCTTTATTGAAAAAAATAGTGTATGCCATCTTTTTTTCTTTGTCATAGCAAGGAAATTAGCATATCTGTTTAGAGAGAGAGAGGTGACTTGTATTTGAAGGACAGAGTTGTCTCACTTGTTTTTAAAACAAGCCATTATTCACCTTGACAGAAATAATAGTGAGCAAATTGCACTCATTTTGTACATTCTTTGTTCATGTGGTAAGGGAATGAGAAGGGACAAGTGGTTTTAGTTGTGAAGAACCTCTTTGCCAACTTGGAAGGAGTTTTTGATTTCAGCAAGTGAATTATCAGGTGCTTGCTTGATTCTTTATTCCCCTATAAAATTCCTTTTCTTCATTGTACTCTGGTGTAGGTATGTGCTGTAAAACTTTTAGGATCAAAGGA